GCCCTGTCAGGGCCGCGGGAGAGACGCAGGATGAGAATCTTGTTTGAAGGGCTGGGCCGTTTTGGCAGGTGTGTTTGTGGTTTGGTTTTTTTTCACATTTGCCTGCTGGATGGCTTGAAATGTTTTGTGCATTTCGGGTTGCCAACTTTCACCGCTCGATTCTCCAGAAACTGGCAGCTTTTAGGCTTGGTTATCTGATGCTATAATAAGCCCCAGTATCTGGAGTGAAGCTCTATTACAAGTTCGGACTTCCAGGAAAAATGATGCAGATAAAAATGATGGAGGAGTCTGTTCTTTGGATATTCAAAGAAGGGAGTGGTTTTAGTAATTGCAAATGGTCTGGCTTACTGTATTGGGTGAGGCTGTAGGAACTATTCATGTACTTCGCTTACAGCTGTCTCTTCAATAACTTTCCTCAATCTTTTTTTTTTTAGCTAGTACATATTAAGATGAATATGGAAGACAAGGCAGTGTTGTGAGGCCCAGTGTATCATTTCCAAAGGGCAAAGTTTGACATGTTGTGTAAATACACAATTCACTGCTGGGTGTCCTCAGATGGTGGCCTCAGAATTGGGGGTGGGGGACTACTGTATTGTATTCACAGTGCTTGACTGTTCTGAACTGAAGAATCGTGTTTGTGATCATGCAGGTCACTGTGTGTTGGATTGACGATTTCCCTTGATTACTGGTGGACCTCAAACGTCAGCCTGCAGGGGCTGGATGAGGTAAATTTTGAACACGGTAAATGTGAGCACGCCTAAGACAAAATAACAAAATGGGCTGTATAAACTGAAATCCTAAAATATCTTTTTTTAGAATGAGCTTTGCTTTACTCACACCCCTATACAGTGAGGATGTATTTCTGAGTACATCTAGGATGATGGATGGGAGACTGACAGAAGACATAGTAAATCTCAATAAAAGACATTCAGTTCTGTTTACGTGTGACTACAGTATTCTTTTACTGCTGTTTTTAATATTATTCCTGATGATATTGTGTGCCTCATATTAATGATTTATCCCCTGAATAGAGCTCAGGGATTTCATTTGTGTGTCCTACAATTCTAAACCTTTCTTTAATATCACTTCAAAATTGGATTGCCTTTGCTTTCTGCTGGGGAGCATTCAGCCTCAAAGAGAGTTAACAAAAAGTGTCTGCATGCTACATTGATTTCTTGATAATGCACAACTCGGTCCTAAATTACTCAGTATAAATTGCTATCATACTCACCAGCTGGGTATAACCTGGATATTTGCAGAATCACTGGATTGCCTCGGAGACCTGAGTAAATATTATTATATAGGAGTATATCAGTAAATTTATTTTGCCATTTTAAAGGTTTTTGTGTAGAAGATCCCAAAGCACAATGGTTTCTGTTGGGTCATTTTGGATGGGTCCAAAGGGTCCTGTATCCAAGTGAGTCTCCATCCTGGACGAGGGCACATCTTACAGACTGGACCGTTCTGTCACTGGGCTGAGTTCCTCAGGACAGGCATGGATAAGATAAGATCACTTTATTAGCCGTATAGAATTTCTTGCATTAGGAATTTGTCTTTTCGCATACCCCAGCTTGCTCATGAGACACACAGACGGGGAGAGAGAAGCTTGGGGTCGGAGCGCAGGGTCAGTCATTTATACGGCACCCCTGGAGCAGTTGGGGTTAAGGGCCTTGCTCAGGGGCCCAACGGAATAGGATTCCTCTGCCGGCCACGGGATTTGTTACCGGCAACCTTCCTGCCACAGGCGCAGATCCTTAGCCACAGAGCCACCGCTCTGTGGACTGGGGCCCTGTCCTTTCTTTGACGGCTCTCCGATCTCTTGCTAGAGCAGCCCGGAGTACACGGTGGGGATGTCGGCCTGTCACCAGAGGGCTGCCGACCACATGGTGGAAGGGGCCATTCGGAACGGCGGCCTGTACATCAAGCTGGGCCAGGGTCTGTGTGCCTTCAACCACCTGCTTCCCCCCGAGTACATCCAGACCCTGCGCGTGCTGGAGGACCGGGCTCTGGACAGGAGACACAAGGAGGTGAGCGCTAGTCACGCTGTTCGCGATTCTGTGTGCTAGTGCAGCTCAGCCCTTTCCAACACGTCAACTTCAGATACGGCTGAGCTGTAAGTCAGCTCTTATTACAGTTTGGAAGGGTTTTGAAAAGCACAATGTGTTGGTTTGCTCCCACCGTTGTTGAAACTGCCTGTTGATATTCGTGTCCACCCTCTGATCACGGGTTGGAGCCTGGGTCATGTGACTAGCTGCCAGTGTCTCCAAGTGGTGGGACACTCTCTGCGGTGAGACCCAGCGCCCCCTGTGGCCTCCCAGGTGCTTGAAGGTTTATGGTGCTTTTATTGAGGGCCACACCTGTCTTCCAATCAGCGCTGATCCTCCGCTACAAGGCAGTGCTTCCTGCGATGGGTTAAAAGACGATTGGCTCAAATATGAGCAGGGGGGAGGAGTCTACCTACACTTCCTCAATTTGTTCCAAATCATATGGGTTCCATCAAAAAAGTGATGATTCTAAATTTTAAAGAAAAAAAAACTTAGGAAGAGAAACTTCAGGTGTCTCTCTCTGATGTATTGTGCAGCTAACAGGTCAGCCTAAACAGAACAAGCTTCTGAAATGCTTTATTACAATCATTTCCAGAGGTAAAACAAGGTAGCTTTCAGGTGACTTTAAAATGGAAACCCTGAGACACAGCTACTGTAGCTAATTATAATCAAATTTTGATTCATTATTAACCTTCTCACCATCCCTGTAGAGTGGACCATCTTAAATGGCATAATCCTGTACAGATGTCTTTTATGAAGTAAAATATGTCATTTTTATTGTAAGTTCTGCAGAGTATATCTTAATGCTGTATTTACTGCTTCTTGTACTCAAGAGATCGGGTTGCTAAACCTCTGGTTAGCAGCACCGATTAAATGCTTCTGACAGTTTTTCCAAGTACTAATTGTATTTCCAGAGGTGAATGTTTTTGGCAGTTTTCATAACCCTCTTTTAAAAACTGGTCATTACTTAAGATGAAATGAGATGAGGCGTACCTGTGTCCATCGCAAAATAAACTTCTTCTCTATTCAGTTTCCGGATGTCGGCTGCTCTCCTGACCGACACATAGAACTTAAATCCACGTGGGACCCGAAAGGTCGTTTAACGGGAGGCGATCCCTGACCCGTCCTTGTCTGCAAATGTCCCCGCAGGTGGACGCTCTGTTCCTGGAAGACTTCCAGAGCACTCCTGACCAGATGTTCAAGACGTTCGACTACGAGCCCGTGGCGGCAGCGAGCCTGGCTCAGGTGCACAGGGCGGAGCTGCAGGATGGGACTCCTGTGGCCGTCAAGGTGGGGGGCTTCCCATCATGCCAGCCGTCTCCCTCGCGGCCTTCGTTCTGGGGGCTGGTTTCTGGCGCAAGCCCGAACCTCCGTCAGTGTCAATTTTACTCTTTTGTGGAAGCGATCTGCTCCTCCTTTGTGTGTCCACTGCATGAGGGGTTGTAGGCAGATGCTTCAGTTGGCAAAAGTGAAATTTGCAGCCCTACCTGTCCCCTACCCTTCTGTGCACAAAGTGAGCTTCTGTACTTCTTTCCCTTTGGGATTTGTGCTTAAGTGTTTTTTTTTATACCAATATATTTGCATTCATGTTTTTGCATTGTATATCTGTATCATGTCTGATGCACTTGGGGGGGGGATAATTAAGCCATCTGCTCACAGATACTCACACAAAGTCTTCTTTCTGCTGCACTTTCTATTTTAATGTGAGTTGGAATTAGGCAGAGCTGGTTAGGACTCTAGATTGTGAGGTTGCGGGTTCGCATCCCAGTGGGGATACTGCTGTGTCCTTCAGCAAAGTACTTTTGTCCTTATCACTCCAGCATCAGTCAAATTCCTAACAACAGGCCAAGAGCCAGAAAGAAATGAACCATAAAAGAGTCGCATGTATTTCATTTCTATGATTTGAATAAGTTATTCTAGACACATGCTTGTGTCCTGGTTCACATACGAAATTCCTCTAGGTATTTAGTTTTTGATATAACCTATCCCAACTAGGAGTTTTTTAAAAATATTTTCATATTTCATCAGTGTGGAGGCTAGCACGTTCAGCTCTTAAGAAACTGCACAGAGCTGTCATGGTGTTCCTATCAGCCTCCATATATGATGACAAAATGGCATCCAGGCAGCAGAGACAGAACTGCCACAGTGGTGCCAGTCAGCCTCACATCCAGCCTCTGCTCTGTCCTAGGTGCAGTACATAGACCTCCGAGACCGATTCGATGGGGATATACGGACAGTGGAAATACTTCTGGACATCGTAAAGTTCATGCATCCCAGCTTTGGATTCCGATGGGTGATAAAGGTGTTTAAGAAAGCGCTTTTTTTTTGGAATGCATCACATTCCAGCACTGGGACTGGCACAGATTTGAATTTTGTTTAAGTATCGCTTGTTCTAGTTTAAGTGTGTATCTTCGGTGCTGTAAAACGTTTCCCCTCTTTCTGTACGGAATCAGGATTTGAAAGGAACGCTGGCCCAGGAGCTGGATTTCGAGAACGAAGGCCGGAACTCGGAGCGCTGTGCCCAGGATCTCAAACACTTCAAATTCATTGTCATTCCCAAAGTTTACTGGGACAAGACCAGTAAGGTGAGAACAGAACAGCAGCTACAGAGTCAGTCTGTCTTCAGAATTCGTGTGTGTGTGTGGAATATACGTGTGTCAGGTTACAGATGTTGCTGAATATTCTTCTTTAATCTCTTCTGAGATCTGACACTAGTTCAGTTATACATGTAATTCAGTGACCAGTTTTAAATATTTAGATGCTAGTGTGCTTGAATGCAGAGTGGAGCTTTTTGAATTTTTCTGTGACGGCCTCATTTTGTTTTGCCTCGTGGTTTCATGGAGGGCTTTGAATTTCTGACACAAGTAGATGAGTCCCGGTACCCACCAGTAGAACCTTGGGGAAGCACTTAAATAGGTACAGTACAGCAGCAGCCAAACATGGAGAACATTTTGTTACATAAATCGTTAACCACTTCCGTTCTACAATAAAACAAACATTTGGCCTTGTTTGCAATTAACAGGGTTAAGAATCAGTGTAGCTGTGTTGTATAGTAGCCCCCTGCTGTTTACAGGGGACCAGTACCTTAAAATCCCAGGAAACAGCAAATCTGCAGAGCGCAGATTGGGCAGACTTGGGCATCTGGGGCTCTGGGAGAGTTCCTCTTTCTTCTGTGCCAACGAGTTGTTTCCACTGAGAGCAGGATCCTTAACACTGCACAGGGAGCCCATATTAATAATGACAACAGGCACTCCAAGATCTGAAACTTTGCTTTTAAAATGGGATGTGAACTAACAGCTCAAGATGATTGTCTGTGAGTGAGTAACACTCCTGGGACTCTTGCAGAGGGTCCTGACAGCAGATTACTGTGAAGGTGTGAAAGTCAACGACGTGGAAGCAATCAAGAAGCAGGGCGTCAGCCTGAAAGATGTGAGTACTGTCTTGTTCCGGAGATTCCAGGTACCAGTGTCTTTGCCAGGGATGAAGAGCGTGTTCGTACGGAGGTGCCAGACTCCCTGCGCTCGCACAAAGATCTTCACGAAGGCAGCTCGGCCCAGCCTGATATCGCACAACTCTCCTGTCTCCTCATTTTATTTTCATGCAGCTTCACTTCAGATAGGTGGTTGGTTTCCAGTTTGATTTAGAGTTGCTGGAATTAAAGCATGCAAAAAATGGACGATATCTAAGGATATTCTGTAACAATTTTAGAATTGTAAGAAATTGTGTTTTTTTTTTTGTCTTGCAGACCTCCGATAAGCTGATTCGAACGTTTGCGGAGCAGATATTTTACACTGGTTTCATTCACGCAGACCCTCACCCTGGGAATGGTAGGTTTGCAGCTGTGTGAGTGTCTTTGCTCCTTTTTTTTTGCACAGGATTGCGCTATTGCACTCGTAAAGCCCTCAGGTTAGTTGGCAACGATCCCTTGTATTGTAACAGAGATGGATGTGGAAGGTAAATTCTGTAATAGTCCCTAAGTTAGAATTTAGTGTGAAAAAGTTTTAGAATTTCCACAGTAGTTGCAATTGGAGCACTGTGTATTTTGATAATCAGGATTCCATAAATATACACCCTGGACAGAATGCTAGTCCATCACTGGACACGCCCAATCACACGCTCACATATATATGGATATATTTCTCCCTGCCCTGTTTTTGGAAATGGAAGCATATGTTTTTTGGCATTGCTTTAATTAGCTGTCTACATTTTTAGATATTTTACTAGAGGCATGTTTGTGTCTTGCCTATTCAATATTCTGTCACCTTTCGGCTCTAAAATATTTTTTGGTAGAAGAGAGGATGAATTGCAGGTTCCTGTATACAAGCTTCACGTATTACAATGCGACCCATTTGTTGTCTTCTATCGGGAGGGGGCAGTACGCTCCACGTGTACAGACTATGGGCCAGTTTCCTGGATTAGCTCCTGAGCTGTTTCCTGCAGTCAGGTCAGCCCGCTGCGCTTGTCCATTTCAACCGCTAGGTTACCAATGAGAGGAGACCATTCAGCTCATCCATCTCAAGTAGCTGATTGATCTCAGGATCTCACCCAGATTTCCCTGAAAGTAGACAAGGCATTGGCATCAACCTTGACATCATAGGCATTGGCCCAGTTGGCATTTGGCGGAACAGTGGCACTGTGGCTAAGGATCTGCACCTGTGGCTGGAAGGTTGCTGGTTCCAGAAGAGGAATCCTACTCCATTGGGCCCCTGAGAAAGGCCCTTAACCCTAGCTGGTCCAGGGGTGCCGTATAAATGGCTGACCCTGCGCTCTGACCCCAAGCTTCTCTCTCCCCGTCTGTGTGCCTGTGTCTCATGGAGAGCAAGCTGGGGTATGCAAAAAGACAAATTCCTAATGCAAGAAAGTGCCTTCAGTTTACAGTTTTAAAAGCACTTCCTTGTAGTTTCTATTTGTACCCTGTGCTCCATGTTTCACTATAGATTCTGAAGAAGTTCATTCATTGACTTGAACTGGATGGAATTTTCTGCATTCAAGAGTAAAAGTGTAGTTTTTCTTTTAACCTGTGAGTGTAGGGTCCCTAAAATCTATCTAACGTATCTAATGCAAGCTTTGTATTTACCAGTACAAAATGAAATGCAGTTTTTAGAGATCTTAGAATGACTAGATGCTTGAACAACACTAACAAGGAGCTGAAGGAAATCTAATACAAAATCTGTGTTATTTCAGTCCTTGTGAGAAGAGGTCCAGATAAGAAAGCTGAATTAGTTCTTCTGGACCATGGACTATATGAATTCCTGAGCAAAAAGTAAGGGGGCATTTTTTTTTTGTCTCTGCTTTGGAGGTTTTTCAAATACGCAGGTGTTTAGTTACAACCAAAGGCTTTTTTCTCCCATTACATGGTTTTCAGTGTAAATGCAGTGACTTACAAAACTCCCCTTTTCAGACACCCCCCATTTTGTTGAATGACAAATGATATATAGTTTTCAAAGTGAATATTTTTCATCAAAACATTTTAGATGTTGATTTTTCTGTGAACCCTTTCGTAGGTGAAAAACTGTGGTTTTAACTTCTGAACCTTCAAGGTTTGATGCATCAGCACCAGTGCAAACTGTTTTACTAGGTGAATTAAGGGGGAGCTCTATGGAGGACAGAATATTACCCTGAGATTTAAGTTTATGGGATCTTTATAATATTTCTTTCCCTCCTGCTTGTGAAGCGACTATGGGATCACTGGGGATTAAAGGAGCTGTGCAAGTGATTATTCTTACCGGATTGTGTCGTACCTGCACTTTCAGTGACAGGGTGGCTCTGTGTAAGCTGTGGCGATCCATCATTCTGCGAGATGAGCCAGCTATGAAGAAGTACTCTGCTGACCTGGGAGTCCGAGGTAAGAGCTGTGGCCTGTGCAGAACCTTTGAGACTGGCTGCCAGTTGAGAGTTGTGTATATAAAGCTTTTAAAAAGAAAAAGTACTTTATGATTTTTGAATTACTTCTTGTAGTAGGGACAGCTCACTGGCGCAGTGGTTAGTATTACTGCCTCACAGCTCTGGGGCCCTGGGTTCAATTCCAGACCCGGGGTGCTATTTGCATGGAGTTTGTATGCTCTCCCTGAGTTTGCATGGGTTTCCTTTGGGTGCTCTTGTTTCCTCCCACAGTCCAAAGACATACTGGTAGTTAATTGGCCCTGGTGTGAGTGTGTCTGTGTGTGTCCAGTGATGGACTAGTATTCTGTCCAGTGTGTATCCTGCTTTCTGAGACCCTGTAGTAGATAAAGCATTGAGAAAATGGATCTCATAGTAGAGCTATAAATTCCATACACAGTAGTAGTGAATTAAATGGGATGGTTTAAATATTTTCAGTACAGTTTTTGAATTCAGATTGTATTTTCTTCATTATTTTGGGCAATTCTAAAAGTACCTGTGAAGAAAGTTTACTGTATTGCCTGAATTACTAAAGCTACAAAGTAAATCCCCTGCTCTCTCTGCCATGTAGATAGTGTTTCTGAATCTTCTGCACTTGATTAATCTGCTGTTTTAGTCTTGGAAGTGACTCCCGTCTGGTTGGATTAAAGGCCGGGTGAACTGCTCAGGGTAGATTTTCCACTTGCAGCACAGATTGATTTCCACAGAGCTAGGGTTGTTTCCAGTTTGAGCTGTGACTGAGAATATTCCAGGCTATAGCTCACTATTCATCAATCCCTGTCTGCGCTGGCCACTATCCCCTGTTTGCTACTCTGCAGTGCTGTCAATCAGAGATGCACCACAAATGCAGTCTGTACTGACTCTCCCGTGAGGCAGTGTGAAGCTCCCAGCGGGTCCCATGAAGAATGGCTCCTGCCGGTGAGCGAGCCGAGCTGGGTTTATCTGAAAGTCCAGATCAGGAGCTTAAAAAGTAGAAAAATAATTCAAAATTAAAGAATGGAGCTGTACATAAAGTTGACTTTGGCTAAACCTGAGATATTGCCACCAAGATCATGGGCATCTCCACCCTGCCTCTGCAGATTACTTCCTGTTCTGCGAGATTCTGCTCCAGCGGCCCATCAACATGCGCGATATGGGGCTGGCCAACATCCTTACGCGGGAGGAGACGGCCTACATGCGGGAGATGGCCATGAACCGCTTTGAGCGAATCATGGAGGTCCTGAAGGCTCTGCCTCGGCCCATGCTCCTGGTCTTCCGCAACATCAACACGGTGCGCAGCATCAACATCGCCCTGGGGGCGCCTGTGGACAGATACTTCGTCATGGCGAAGAGGTACCACGCCTGGGCCGTGAGACAGGGAAGTGTGCCCTCTCAGCTAGGATGTTGTGATGCGTTCTGCCGCTTTGTGCAGCTCCATTAAGGAGCAATAGTGTGTTCAAGTGGAAATGTTAAGAGTTTAAAACCTCCAGATTCACAAAATAAAGCTCCCTTTAAAAGAGAGAGCTTGGCCACGTGCCCTTGGCCGGTTTTCGGCCTAGGGTCGGGAACTAGGCCGAACGATGGGAGCTGCTGACCGCGTTCCTCTCTGGTTGTGGCTGGCAGTGCCGTGAAGGGGTGGAGCAGGATACAGTCGGATGAGCTCAGAGGGCTGCCCCGCTTCGGCGTGTTTCGCTGGCTGCGGGTAGTGTGGGAGAGCCTCAAATTCGAATGCGCATTAAGGTAAACCCCTCCGTCCCCAATACCGCTGCTTCTGCACTGTTGGATTTCTGTCCGATTCTCCAGCTCCCGTAGCTCATTTCTTTTAAGGGCCTTTTCTTATTTAGGAAAAGAAAAATGAGTTTGAGATTAAAGCATACAACAATCAGATCACATGTGCATTTTCTTGTCTTTTTTTTAACATAGATCTCATGGCAGTGTAGTTGTAGCTTTAATGGAGGGGGTGTCTGAGAAAATCGAAAAGAACAGGTTGCTGTCACGCCAGAGTCCCCTCGTGTTAGGGCTTCTATTCCCCCCCTCCCCCCCTGCATTTCATTTGTGAATAACTTGGCTGAAATTCAGGGAGAGCAAATGCCTGGAAGTTTTCATTTTAAAAACAAAAAAAAGCTACACCGGCTCTCTTACCCACAGGTCTGAGGTGGTGCTGATGCACCTGACAGCCTCACTGCTTCGCCTGCTGGTTCATTTCGGTCTCCTGCCCCCGGATGAACAGGTGTACCAGTACCTGCAGCACTGACCTTGGCCGGCTCGGGGACGGGCAGGCACATCTCATTACCTCATCCGCGCAAGACGATCCATCTCAAGCAGGATTCATACTTTTGTTGTGCTGTAGCAGACAGTACCGGTGCCACTGTGGTCCGGGTCTGCGCTGACCACTTGGGGAAAGCAGAGCACTTTTCAAAGGAAGGTCAGTGTCCCTCTCGGCGTCTTCACACTGGTTCTGACCAAAAAGCCAAAGCAGCTCAGCACTCTGTCCAGTATTCACACTGGGAACACTGGTAAATGAACTAGACCTGGATCAAAATGCAACATGGACCTTGTTTTTTTTAGGCAAAACGACAATGCAAGACTTTTGAAGAAGAAACGAATGCAGACCGGCTGATACAAATATCGCTTATTAAACTTGTAGATGTTGTGGTTGGACTCAACAAGTACACATCAATCTAGTCTTCAAACTGTGAGCCCTTTGCAAATAGCACTCAAAGTAATGTGTTTGCACACATTGAGAGGGTGGAAAGAAAGACCATGTTTAACAGTAGGGGTGAATTAAAAATATTTTTACCTTCAGTTTTAAATACGTGTTGGAAACATGCAATATTATTTTGCTGACATTTCATCACTGTCAGATTTTTATGTCTATACTCTTGTGATTTATGAAGTTTCCAAAGTTAGGTAAGTTCAGTGACAGTTTTGTCAAGCTTCGTCTATTGCTTGGCGGGGACTCCTGTTTCCCTGCACTACAAGAACGTGTTTTGCGTGACTTGTGTTGCAAGAGCCTGCTGGATCTGGGGTGTAGCTCAGCATGTGACAAGCACTCAGGGTAAGTGGCTTTGCAAGAATCCTGTAGCCACACCTCTACATTTAATAGCACTGCTACACTAATAGTCTAGTTATTTGGAAGCTAATTTACTCGGTACAAGAGAGAAATTTGTAAAGGTTAGTAAATGTCTCCAGTTCCTCTGGGTGTGTATTGTGGACAGATGGTCATGCAGTCGCCCTCAGTCCTACACTTCCAGATATGCTGCAGGTCTCCACGGCCATTCCTGTGAAACTGAAGTTGTACTAGGTGAACATACTGAAGATACTTGATTCCTGACTGGATGGAAAGGCAGCATCCAGGAAACCAGGCCTCTTCGATTTTCACTTTTTCAGTTGTTTTTTAAACTAACCCAGGTGAAAGACTTAACTCGCTAAGTAAAATTTTCACTAAATTTGGATTCAGCCACTTCTGGTTTCTAGAGCACCTGCTTTGTCTCTTGATTAAACAGGAATTGCGATCTCAAGAAAACTTACTGAAAGTTATGTCATAGAACATTTTACATTCACATGGTTTTAAACTAACATTTTGTGTTGAGAAATACTGCAGATTTTATTGAACTTAAGAAGGCCACTTAAAGAGTATGTGTCTTCAATTAATTACCTGTGCCTTGCGAGTTGCTGTTAAAATATCGAGTTGCCTGCTGTTCAGCGCCTTTTTACTGTAGGAGTGGTCCTGTTTTAAGTGTCATCAGGTTTTCCCTCCGCTTAAGAATTTGCTGATCAAAGGTTAGACTGATTACGGTAATAGTGTATAATTTTAAGGTGTGAAACTAACTATCAATATAACAATATTACTTTAAGCAATTATTGAACAGTACCTCATGTGCTATCCTGTGTAAAAAAAAATCCAAAATGCACAATATGCATACCTCGTTATCATGATTAGAACAAAAGTTACAAATGAGATTTTTACCTGTCTTTGTTTCTCTTCCAGACAGTTTGCATAGAATTAAGTATGTTTTACAGGCAACAGTCTGCCCTGACTGATAGACATCTCTGGTCTTTTATGAAAATGAAAAGTTTGCTTAATTTTTTGTAATTATGCATAAACTATTTATAAACAGTGGTGATAATGAAGCTTATTTCTGTGTTGAAATGTTGCAGTTCTGTAATCAGGTCTTTTTTCTATCTGAGATTCCAATTTCATTAAAAGCCCAGTCAAGCCAATTATTTAAACATTGACTTTAGCATTTAAACGTACAGATTCCCTGTTTTTTGTATTTTAAAACTGTCATCTGTAATGTTGAAGTGTCAAGATTAAGAAACTGTAAAATAATCTCTAATCAAATTAAGAGTTAAATTACCTTACTGAGGATTCACCTGGATCACTAAAGGGCCAGGACTGCAAATAGTGATTACTGCTAACTCTCGGGGGCAATATTGATACAAATTAATAACATTTATACTGCACGTTTTACATTCAAACATCATATAAATGCTTTCTTTGCTTAATTGTAATTGGAAATATTTGGGTTTTTAAGGTCAATGCAAAAGTTGTTAAAACAGCCAGCCCTTTGAGACTACACCCTGGATATGTATTTTTAATACATCAACAAATTCAACACATAGCTAAAGTTTTCACAGAAACATTGCTTCCAGTGGTTTTTCGAGCTTTATGTTTCAAATGCCATTTGCAAACGGAAGTGTACTTTAAGGATCTTACCTTGGAAGTTCATGTGCAAAATAAAGCCTAGGAACAGTGCATTCACTCTCTTATTTAATCATATTTTCTTTATGAAACAATGCTTCAGAATTGTATATTCATTTTTTTTCACTTGGTCAGAATTGTCAAAAGCAATTTTCATGAATTGCAGTTCAGAAAAGCAGTTGGCATGAATTGGAGGCACCAATTTATCTGTTATTGGGGAAGTGAAATGGAGCTGGAACTTAGTTGAGTATTTACAGCTGCTCTTGCTTGGCAAGGAAAAATAAACTCATTTCAAAACAAGAAGCTAGATAAGTGTTTTTAAAACACCTCTGTTAATAAACAAGTTGTAACATGGACCTGACATGCACCCACACATAGCACAAAATTCGCATCCCATCAGAATTCATTCAGGATTTTAGTTAATTTTTTTAATATCTGCTTACAAAATAGTCTTCCATATCAAATGTAACACTTGAAGTTAATTTTTTTTTAAACACAATTACTACAAAAACTCAGGCGTCGAAAACAATTGTACAGTGGTAATACGAGTTGTGGGAAGAAGCCACATGGTGGGAAGCCAGGCGCTTGCTGTTTAAAAGTGTGCCGTCACCCTGTCCAGCTCCAGCAGATCATCCAGAATCTACAACAAGCGAACTGGGATTAGAAAACAGTGTCTGAAGGTACAAAGATGAGAAATTCTATTAAAAATGGTGGCAACTGGCTTACCAATATGATCTGTTTTGTTTTTTTATTTCGTTTTTTTCTCTTGTCAGGTTGGTGTAGATATTGTACAGCACATGGTGTCCTTTTTTAAAAAAAAACACTTATTTCCTACCCCCTTGCCCCAGTTAAGGCAACGGCTTTTCTCCGTTTCCTTTCATGGGATCAACCATCCCACTGGCTCTTCCTTGTTGGAAGCTCAATGCGTTGCTGTCCCCCTTACATCGGTGCGTTTTCTGGGGTGCAACACTCTGGGAGTACTCACTATGTCCGAGGTGGTTCCGATTTTCTTCGCCAGCTCGCTGCGCTCCATTGTGCTGAGGTACAGGTATTTGTTCAGAAGTTCGCCGTCCAGGATGTTCCTAACCGCGTTCTGCAGGGAGCGCCGGTCAGCGTGGAGCATCCTACACCACAGAAGAACCCCAGCAGTGCACTGAATTAACACACAGTCCTACAGTATCTACCCCAGAATCTCCTTCCCAGGCGGAATGCATTGAAGTCTTAAAACACAAGATGCTTCCGCAGGACCGATCTATACTGACCAGTACTCAATACAGACATAAAATGTTACAGCTAGATCTTTTAATAGAGTTCGGAAAATGAAAACATGCGGTTAAAATGTACCTGTAAGCCTTGGGATTCAAGCCCGCATGGTGTGGGATCATTGTGGTCAGAGCGTTTTGCAACATCAGCAGGCGGCGATATGTTTTCTCTTGCATGGGGAGTAGGAGGCCGATCCCACCGTCCAGCGTGGCTGAGACTTACAGGAAGACAAAGCCCGTGTTCACAGGGAAGAATGAAGAGGAATAATAAGTCAGCAACCCAACGAGATGGGGATGGCAACAGGGTTTAACACTTAGCAGCTCTGTTCATTTCAGGTTTGGTGAGGTACAGCTTACGTCGCATTTAGAAGTGGTAAGCAAATTTGTGCCATGTTACTGTAAATTCTCAGCAGTCTGTACAAAGTTGCTCACAACAAGTTAACCAGAATGAGGCCTCTGGGCTCTGGCTCATGTACACAACCCCCTGGAGGAGTAGGAGCACCCCAAACCGCACACTTATCCTCAACCCTGCAGTCAGCGTTTCTGGTTATGGTTGCCCACGGACAGCTGGAACTGGGAAAAAAACTGGGTACCAAACCAGGTGATGTGCTTGTTCTCCCAGGCCAGCAGCTTCTTGCTGGGCCCCTCCATGGCTCCTCGGCAGGGCATCCTCCAGAAGGTGTTGACGTGGGCGCCCACGTTGAAGTCCGCTCGCCGCAGGAGCCGCATGCCCCCGAAGCTCTCCTTCGCTGTGGAAGGCGAAACCAAGTCAACGAACCAACCTGCGCCAACCTGGGGCCCCCCCTCTCTCTCCCCACCCTCCAAGCCACCTGCTCCAGGGCCACGCTGCCCCCACAGACAAGACGGACCAAGCGTTTACTTGTTCAGTCCCCACCATCATCTATCAATACCCATCCCGGCATGAAATCATGTTTTAGCAAGAGAATGAAGTTACAGAAATGGTGCTTGTTATGGCAGGTTATTCTTTCCACAGTGAAACTGTCTAGGAAAGGTCTGAAAGATAAACTGGAGCATTTCTTCAGAGCAGTTATTAATGTGCAGTCACATACCTTCCGGCAGATACATGTACACCAACAGGTTCCTGTCCCGATCGGACACTAAAATGAAGGAAAAAAATGTTAATTTCAATGTTAACAGGCCATAATAGAATTCATCACAATCACAGATTTTGCTTTACTGGACACCTAAAGATAAGCCTTCCATGAACACTATCCCATACTGTACCTAGAAATCCCAGCTGGCCGTTGTCCACCATAAACTCAATGCTGTAAACCTCCAGAGGTTTGGCATCCTGCGTGAAAGATGAAACATTTCTCTTACCATCACCAGGCAGCTTAGCCACTTTCAATAACTGCAGACCACTGCATGTTAATGCTGTACCTCAAGACCAAAGTGCATCAAAGAAATGTATCCCCTACACAAGCCTGTGTATGTTCAGAAAAATTAAGTATACAGATTTGGACATTGATTTTGATATTTGATAAACTAATCACCCATGACTCACACTGTAACCTAGTCAAGCAACTGTTGTGCAAGTACATCAGCTCTTTAGTAAGAGAGATGATCGGGCTTAGGTGATGAGGCAATCTCACCTGTTTGAGAAATAAAGCCTAGTGAAAATAAAAAAAACAGGAACCAATATACTCCTCATAAAGAGAACACTGCCTTTGATACAAATACAAGATTAAACTATATAAGGGGAATGGATTTGGAGAAATATTCAGGAATGAGCAATCGGTGTCATTTGTCAAAAGCAACCAACATTCCAACGTAATAGTTTTTCGTTGATTAAATCAGTCATATTGGTTTAAAATACTTTTATGGCCATCACATGAACAAAATAAACCTCAAACAAGGAGCCACGAACACACAATATTCTACATCATCTTCGGAGTCTGGCAAAGTCCTTTCCTGTCCTTACCCGGCTGACGAGAGACAGAGTCTTGCTCTCCTCCTGGTACCGCAGCAAAGAGATGCTCTTCATGACATCAGCGGCCAGGATGAAGTTTTTGATGCTGTGCATTTGGTGGATGTAGAGCTGGGTATCGATGAAGGCCATCCCCGTCAGGTCATTGTCCTTAAGGCTCCACAGAAATATCTGCAAACCACACCAGACACACAACAGTGCAGTCAGGCTTCTGGGCAATCTGGGCAGGTATAGCACTCCGCCTGGTCATTGCATGCTTGGAAACCTGTCAGGTTTGAGTGTTTCTTAATGTTTTGTGATACCTGAGATCCCAGAAGATTCGAACACTTCACCTTGGGAATGCACTGACACTGCAAGATGTCAAATCTCAAGAAATGTCACAGAAAGCACACAGTGTTTTTACAAAGCATTGGAGAAATGCTAAAATAAATTATCCATATGCTCTGTGGTATCCTTTCAGTGATTTCATATCCTTGGATTATTTTATGTTTACAGCAAACACACTAAAACACATTCCTGCATTGTTATAAAACATGGCAGATAGGAACCAAGGTTACCTTTTGCCCAATAGCAGAGACCAGGTAGCCATTGCAGTGACACAGGGCAGTGACTGGCCCCTTCTGCTCCTTCTCATACAGAACCTTGAACTTGTTTTTGGTGAGGGGCTGTCCTGGTTCAGGAACGACCTCTATCACATCCATGATCAGGATCTGGAAGCAGATACACGCAGGATTTGCAATTAGGAAGTATAAACAATTCGGCACATCTGTGAGGGGATGAAAATAATAAGACGTGAAGACAGGTGGCTGCAAATTATATTATTAATTACTGCAAATTATATAATACATTTCAAAACACTAGGTCATGTCTAACTTCACTTTACAGCACTTTTAGAAAAAGTTGTCAACAGTGTTTTGGAAAAGCGTAGCAGAAAATGTAGTTTGTATAGGTAATCACAGAGTATCAAAAACACAGAGGTTCATGAGTGAAAATCTGACAAGAACATACAAAGTTTTGAGCAAGACTAAAATAAGAACTAAGCAGTCATGATGGCATAAAGGACATTATTCTGTGCACCCCACCTCCCCTGACCTGCCGAAAAGGTGCAAGCCACTTTTATATAACACACTTGTGCCCGTCTTCTGAAAATCCCTGCTAAGAATGTCATCTATTGGCGTCAAACTCCCTGCAGGGCCTAGAAAGGCCTGGTCTTACCCTGCCCCTGCAGGTCACCTCCTCGCCCTGCATCAGACATGTTCCTGCGGCCACGTATCCCTTCAGGCCCGACACGGTCTCCTCGCTCTTCAGGGCCACCGTCTTCATACAGGTCACGTGTTCCCACTCCTCCAGGTCGATCCTGAGGGGGACAACGCGAGTCCGTTACAGTAGGGGGTCACGCGTGGCCTCAACCACAGGGTCCCCATTTACCAGGGCTTGAGGAGCCCGGCGCCTCTCGCAGACAGCACTACAGGCTGCTACATCTCCTGCCTGGAGGCCAACGGTGATGTCGGCACACTGGGAGTTTTGTGTGGCTCCACAACAATGGAACCAGTGCAGTGTAGCACATGGAAACTGCACTGCTGCTACCGCAGTACAGTTTTACTCCACCACCACAGCTCTCATTGCAGTAATGATCTCTGTTTTAGCATAGTGTTGTTCCAGTAGAGCTCTATCTTCAGCAATGCTCTTGTAACCACACTTTCCTCCATTTTTAAGAAAAAACTGCTCAATTCTGGGGACTGAAGTGAAAGTAATTTAGAACCATGATCTAAATGATTAGAAAGAATAAAGGGTTGTGAAAATCCAAAATGTTTTTGGATGACACAGCTATGAGTTTTGCCTATATTCCATGCAGGTCCTGTTACTCTGATTAACACTCCTCCACTGCCGAGTCCTGCTGTATACTTACCGTGTGTTGGGAATGGTCTCCCAGCTAACAGGAGAGATCAGCTGGATTGAAAACTTCTCCTGCATGGGGTGGATGTACCGTTCATCTGACAAAAAACAAATCAAAGTTCCCATTTTTTTTTACAACGGATTAAAGCTCCAAATGTTCTCGGTGGGGGGACGATACAGTGGTGCAGTGATTAGCATTGCTGCCTTGCAACACTGGGGAACCTAGGTTCAATTCCTGGGATGCTATCTGCCTTGTGCTTTGTTGCTTGCCTTGTTGCTTGCCGGCACAGGCTCCAGTTCCCCCACAACCCTGTATTGGATAATGCGGGTTAGAAAATGATAATGATGATGATGTTGTTGGGGTCCTTTAGATCAAAATGGAGCCCCTGGATTTGAACCTGGGTCATGGCATATCCAGTGATGAGGGGGTCAAAAGTGGGCACGTCACAGCAGTCTGCCCATGTTTTCTCATTCTCTCCAATGTAAGCGTGCAGGGTTTGTAGCTATGAGCCATGAAAAACCAACCCCGCCAGGGTTGTCCCTAGTGTCTGCATGCACAACACTCACAAAGACAACAAAGACTACATTCCAAGAGATTATATATTAGACCTTCCTGCAAAATACGCCCAAGCCTTCGATAACTGTGCATAGCATATTTATAGTAAACAAAGGTTTAATTACACCCATGTGAAAATACTCATTCATTAACCAGCACCGAACACCTAATAATTACTTAATCCCCACCGTGGCTATTTACAAACAATATAGAAACTGTGTTGTGGCCTCTAGGGGTAAGTTACATTTACAGGCCTTTCTACACCACACACACCATTGGCTATTCCAAATAAAAGTAAAACCTCACCTCTTTCTATGACTTCAAACTCTTTCTCTTCACCGGTCATCCTGGGAATGCGCGTGCATATTTCATTCACACTTGTGCACACGGCATAGACCTAGGATGACAAAGTCATTATTCAAGTTCATCCTCGCATCGCTCCACCTGTAACTCCTATCTGTTCTGCTATAAAGCATCAGCCAGACATTATCTGTTAAAAAAGCAGGTCTCACCTTGGATTCCACATGGTATGTCACGTAGTGCACAGTGCATCGCATGGGGATCTTTCGGACCGGCCAAGGAGCGTCATAGGAGAGGTAGGCAGGAAGAACACTGATCCTCAGCTCCCCCTGGAAAACAGACACCCACCATTTGACTGTGAAGGCATTACATCATGAAAACCCGGGACAGACCAGGCGTTCGCCCTACAGTATTTGCAGGGTATATTCTATCGGAGGGTTACAGACTTTTACAGAGCTCCAGTTGTAAGTATTCATACCTTAGAACTAGTAAATGCACTAGGAATCTTAAGTACCACTTCCTAGTTTTAATGAATGTTCAACAAAAGTAAGAGATACCATAGTCGAATAAGTATAACTAAAAATATATATTGAACTTTAACAACACAGTTGAAGATGCAAAATTTTACAGTACAGACTTCTGAGCAAGTAGAAACTGAAGCTTTCGCCTGCCTGTACCTGTTTGTTAAAATATAGGAATCCTTTGGGACAGTTGATGTTGTGGAAGGGGGAGAAGGACTCGATGGGGCCATCGATGGTCATGGGGTGCAGCCTCAGAGCCCCCCGTGAAGTCACTAACATCCAGTGAGGAGAAGGGCCACAGATAAACACCTGGTGGCAGAACACAGCTGATCAGAAGGTTGTGTTTTCTTTCTTCTCTTTTCAGCATGGAATAAACCTATTACTTGTTCCTTTACATTTTAATACACACATGTACATCACTTCTTACCACAAGTACACCAACAAACTGGTTTACAAACTGGTATACAGCTTTGCTTGCCCGTTTCTGAGCATGTATGCCTACACACATTCATTTTATACTTCCTATTAAAAACAAGAAAAAATGTCTCTCAATTATCAGCCTGTGAGTATTCTTACCCCAGAGTATCCAGAAATGTCTTCAAAATATCTGAACCTGGCCACCCGACCTCTGAATCCTGACCCCTCCTCTCCTAGGCCACCCTCAGACTTCTTCTCCTTCTTGGAGATCTTAGCCTTCTTCTCCCGGAAGTTAATATTATGGGGAACCTGAAGGCGTAGAAGGCAGCGAATGTGGGTTAAGGATATTCTGTTCGAAATGCACTGCATCATGGGTACCAAGGCACTTTCATGGAGTCTCTGAACAAGTGAGAGCTGTTGCTGTAAAACTAAATGCTCTTTGCTATTCAAATGAATTTCAATTCTAAACATTTGCAGAAAGCACCTACGGCAGTAACTACAGCTGCGAATATTTCTGGATCAGACTCTTTGTGGCGCAGATTTGCTTACAAAAAAGGCTGTTAACAGATTACAAATTGAAGGAGTGAATATGATTGCTGTTGTCTGAAAATGATCTTGGTTTTCAGCAAATTAGAAACAAATCTCATTTAACATTACTTTTGTCTGCTTTTGATTGGAATTCTGCAGACAAAACAAAGGTCGTAGGAAATTGTGTTGAACTGAAGCAATACTAAAGCTCTCAAATTCCAGAAATTGTATAAATACCAATTCTTTTATGAAGCACATTTTTGTTGAAGGCACACTTCATTTGCTCACCTTTTTGAATCGCACTTTCAGGTTATTCTGGCCCTGCTGCTGGTCATAAGAGAAGGCTTCATAGACGAGAAGCTCTTGGTCAACATGGGCCTGAAGCACAGACAAGGGAAATTGTAACCATTTCTTATCTACAGGTAATAACCAGAACTACAGATGGGACCTTCAATCTTTCTGGTAAAGTTCACTCTATAGAGGTAATGACATAAAAAAGATTTTTCAGAGAATAATGTACAGGAACAGGCTACTCCACTCCACATGGAGTCCTGCAACTTTACAGGCAGAAATCACCAGAAACAAAACTGGTGGTTGGACTTCTCATACAAATAATCCTTTCAACTAAGTAAGTCCAATTAGAGCAGAACTAACCTGAAGAACATACAGATCTTCAAGAAGGACAGAAGCTATTGTACTTGTTGGAGGGTCATTCCAGTTATATTTTGACTGCAGAAGTCACTCAGGTTAGTGTCACCTTTCACCTCTAGCACTCACCAGCAGGTAGGGTCGTGTCTGGCGGTTGCCTAGAGACACTAAGGCCACCTCTTTAACCAATGGGATTTCTCCTTGCCGTGTGACTTCCTCCTTCTTGCCCTCCCCCTGAGCAGCAGACTGGCCTGAGGAGCTGTCCACCAGCACGCGCTGCCCCACAGGGAAGTTCTTCACCAGGAACACCAAGCGCCAGTCAGGGAGCTGGTAGATCTGTAACACAGCACAACTGAGTTCATTTCCTCAGCAGGAGACTGATTATTAAATACCTACTCGATAATGTGTTGTTCCCTTTGCACAATTACCAACCAAAGTATGTTAGTTATTAAAATTATATAAAAAAATGCAGCTACAGCCCTGTTGGGTTGCACACCCCATATCTTTTATGTGTCTCAGCAAGCTGAGCACTGTGAGCATCTAGAAAAAGCCACATCCCTCGTGCCCCAGGACCACTGTTTTTATGCTGTCATCTTTGGTCAACAGGAGCAGGGACGTTCTAATCCTCACCTCCATGACTCCATTCTCTCTCACCGCCACGCACCAGTGTGTGGGCTCAAGTTTGAGAAGGGCGCCCTCCCTGTAGGAGTGGATGAACAAGGTACTGCGGGCAGGCTCCTCCTTGGTGGGGCTAAAGAAAGTGTTGGAGTCTCCATACAGCATCTCCTCTTCATCGTCCACTGTGTTACTGGGAACAGAAGGTACAGACGAAGGAAGACTTAGATAGGAAAAAAACAAAAGGGCCAAGAAAGGAAAAGTGTAACAAGGAGGAGAAAAAAAAAGAAATTGCAAGTTTAGATTTTAACCAGTGAATTCATTAAAAAAAAAAAGAAAAATGAAACCAAGGCTTTCTTTAAACCAAACAAAAACTGATATGAAGTCAGTCCAGCTGTCCTTCAATTTGAGACAGTTATGTAAATACAAGCTGTAATACTAACAATACTACATTTAAAAATAAGTCCACTGTGTGCACTAGTAAACAGTAAATGGATTTTAAACAGTTTAAAAATGAAAATCTGTTCAAGTACATCAAGACAGTAAGTGGAATGCCTTTCCAGCTTCCGTGTCCTGGGAATGCTACTCTGGTTTGCCCCTACCCAATATCCTGGATGATGGTCTCCGTTTCCGAGACGCTCCGGGCTGTGGTTTCCTCCTTGGAGGTGCTGCAGACCCTGTTCTCAGTGGTGAACATGCCGCTGACGTCTCGATAGGCGCACAGCGCGATGACCCGGGATTGCTGGCAGCAAGAGCACACCTCTGTCAGGCCAGCTTTACGGCAGCCGGAGCAAGCTTCCGAACAACACACCGGCCCCTCTAGCAGGGAGGTTCCTAGTGGATTGCTCTGGTACCTGCTATCTACTTTCTGACACTTAGTAACCGAAATTGCCAACACCTAGACGTATTTTAAAATGCAACCGTGTAGGTCGAAAATGCAAACTGTAGGTTTATAAAACTAAATACAGAACAGTCTAGATTATAGAAAATTAATAATTGCACAGAAAGACTTTTGATATTTTTGGTTGTTTTTTGGCATTAAGTTATCTGCTTTGGACTACAGTGATAAAATAAACCTATTACAAATGTAGGCAGCTTTCACAGAGAGAAGGACGAGGCAGACGTTCAGCTAGTGTGAAATTAGATTAAATGACCTCAATGTCCTCGTACGGTTTGCTGAGATAGAGAACAATAATATAACATATAATATATAATATAACATATACAATTCTTCCATCAGCCGTACCGTGTGGATCTGTGGTTTCTGTAGGGCCAACCGGTGGGTCTTGCCCATGTAAGAGTCAGTTTTCAGGACAAACATGGTGACCTGGCCCTCTGCAGTCAGGATCACCACGTAAGGGTCAGCGACTGTGCAGTGCACTATGGGAGAGCCCAGGTCCACGGGAATGAAGTGCAGCTGGGTTACTAGGGAGGTAGAGTGAACAGTGTGAGGTCACACAGCTCTGAGCATAGATACGAGCTTCAGTAGACAAAACTAGAACTGCTTGTTGAACTTCAAGCCTGAGTCAAGGTGTCCAAAACATTGCCTGCTGAAAATGACAGCAGGCAAACTGCTTACGTTCAGTATATTTATACTACAGAAAAATGGTGACCTACGGATTCATCCATTGCCAACTCAAATATGAACTAAAAACAACGTATAATAGAACTGGCAATGGATTGGATAATGTGCCTTTTCAAAAAAACTAAAAATGTCATCCTGTAATTGTCACAGAGATTTTGAAAATATCTGTCATGAATGATTCATTTAATTACAGATCAGCAGTCACATGTATTCCTTTTAAAACTCCACAATTATTTCTTCAAATAAATTCAAGAACAAATCCACAATAACATTCTGCTCCCTGAAGTGCAACAGAAAACTGTGTGTTTGGGACTATATGTCAAATGTTTCCTGTTTCCTAATGATGTAAAAGGAAGACATCACATGGAGGATATGTGTGTAAGTCAGAGAGCTCTCCTAAAACTGCAGGCAAATGGTTTTTTAACTTCCACAATTTGGGGGATGGCCTTTAAAAAAGCCACAAAAGCTGAACCTACCATTTTTCACTGCATTGTTCATTATTATGAAAATGAAGACAGTGACCCCCCTGCCAAAAAGAGGGTACACGTGTGTTTTTGACCCATGGGCTGAAGACAAGTGGCTCAGGAGGCTACTGTAGCTCTAAAGGCAGCAGCTGAAGATCTCCAACACACACTGGCATCTTCAGACATTAAGTGTAAAACAAAATCAACTGCGCATTCTTAAAAATGTCATTACCCATGACTTCCAAAGATCCAAAGGTCAAATGAAAAACTCTGTTTTAGAGTCATGCCTACTGAGGAACACAAATAGGAAACTTTACATGCCCATGGTCTCTGACTGCTCCTGACGTTACGTACACTGTATATAAAGTCATGGTTATTTTGGGACACATAGTGGAACCCACAAAAATACTCTGACAAAAAACATCCTATGAAAAGCCACAGGTTCATTTGGCCCGCCATTAATCTCTGTTTCCAGTTACTTTCATGATTATTATTATGATTGAATTCATCTAGTGAGTATATTCTGTTCTACAAAAAAGTTACCTCCTTCCAAAAGCCGAATTCCCATGGGGGAAACCTGGACAATGTACTTGTTATCCCCGATGTTTCCAGCATAGACGGTAGGTCCCTGAGTAGCAAATCCACTGGTATCCAATTCCATGATCTCCTGGCCTGTTTGCAGTATCTGAAAACCACAAGTCCTTATTAGAACTGATGTCAGAGTGATGGGATATCCTCTGAACAAAAACTACAAGTACAAGTTTTCCTTTTTTTGTTCCTTTCACTGTTACATGTTGCATATTGCATATTTTACAAAGCTCGTTCTGCTCAATACTGTGTTGATTTGTTCCTTTGCGGTTGTTCAAGGAAAGGAAAAGGTTTCAGAGAAGACTTCCCCCCAGCTGACTGAGCTGCACCAGCTTACCATGCTTTCCGAATGGGCCACACAGTTGGTGCCAGACACGTTTGGAACATGACAATAGTTACTGATCAGGCGAGGCTGTGGCGCCTAGCCTAGGTTAGTTGTCCAGCTGTGAGTGTCTCAAGGGGTCAGGGAGGGCTTTGGAATACCCCCTAACGACTCTGCTTTCACAACATACTTGTCAGTTGAACCCAAACTATGTGAAACTACTGTTTCTGTAATAAAAGGCTCATCATTATGTTTCCATCTGTGTCCATTTTGCACTGCACAGCAAATGTCAAAGTAAGCCAGCCTAACTCTAACCACTAACTCTGGGCATGAACAAAAATGACTCTTCAAGTATCCGGCGAGCTCTGAACAGGAGTACAGTCTTTTACCATGGTCGAGTCCTCTCTGCTCAGAATGAGGAAGCCGTGTTTCTTGTCGTCCTCCTCTGGGGCTGGCTCAGGCTGCGTCTCCTCGGTGGTCTCACTGTCTCCCTCAGGCGCCTGGGAGAGGAGAACAAGCAGAGGGGCCGCAGCCGCAAGTCAGTTTTGCTCAGTACAAAAGGCTTTTCCCGAGAATTAAGGGCAAGCAAAAGAAAGCGCCTTACTTCTTCCTTCTTCTCAGAAGAAATAACCGTCCACATGTCGTGACAGCCCGGCAGCTCAAAGGTGGTGACGACCTGAGGCCTGATGCTTCTCTGTGAGAAATGCGCTCATTAACAAAGGCACGTGCAACACAGTTCGCTCACTTCATTTGATCAGCTCCATGCCACCCACCTCCCGATACCAGTAATGGACATCCTGCTGAGCCCTGTGTGTCATGAGTGTTTACAGGCTGCTCCATTGATCTCTGAGGCAGCCCTGGTAAACCCAGAATTTCCTGTAGCACTACTACGTGACCTGTGGCAGACGTGCCTCACCACCACAGGTTTCTGTACAGTGCGCACATCCCCCCCCTCCTGCACTCCAGTATCAACACTCACCTGGAGCACCGACAGAGCCCCGTTCTTCCCGTAACCTGAACACACAACCACCTCCAGATCAGGCTCTGGGTTGTTCTGGAACTACAGAAACAGAAGGTACTTTTTAAACTATAAGCGCGCTTCCGTTTCAATATACAACAGTAAAATAATTCCTTGTAGCATGCAGAGTGCTTCACTTTCACAAGTATTCCCAAGCTTTACATGTAGAACATTACTTTATCTCCTACTCAAAAACAGAATGACCTACTTGTTACTTGTCAGATTGCATGGCTTTGTTGTTTGTCTATGTGTGTTTGGAACAAGATGCAGTTCATTAAAAGCCCAATGTCTGCTGCACATTCCAAAAGGTCCAAAAGGATTTCAAAAGGTACCTCTTCAGACAGGAAGGCAGGCTCCCCCATCGAAGCATTGGCACAGGGACCAATGTTCAGGATGCTGTCACACACCTAGACAGCGAAAAGAGAAGGCATTTGTTTCATCAGATTGTCAAAATACTACTGATCCCGAAATACAAAATATTGAGTAGCTAGATTCACCAAATCTAAATTCAGAAACACACTGATTTACAGAGGGCTCCACATCAGGGCAACAGGATTCTCCATTAAACGTGCCAAAATTGCACCAGCCACGAATACACATCTGCTTCTGAACATTTCAGTTAACCCGGGTATAAGCAGCTTTGTTTTTCAAAAGCGAAAACACCTAAAACCATCATCTTATTTGCAAAAATGACCTCTTCATTCAATACAGTGGTGTCCATTTAAAGAAAACAACCGTAAGATTCTGTAATACAACAAGGTAAGATTGTGCCGAGAAACACATTTGACTTGATCCCACTAGACATTTTCTCTTTAGTTTAACACATGCCCTTCTGTTTTGTTCTATGAATGGGACGCAGCTCCACTACACTCACCTCAAAGGAGAAAGTGGCCAGTTGTGTTCCCGACTGGGCCTCACTGCCGTACACTTCGATCTCATCCACCTCGTCCAGGAGGGCCGCCTTGCCGGCTACAACACACCACCGTATGAGCCTGGCGCTACGAGCACAGATCTTCTAGCCTGGCCGAGCAAGGCTCCTATATAAAGGCCTAGCCTCTCTCAGCCTTTCAGAAACCAGTGCATTGGACAGAATGTTAAACGTCTTTCACACGGCAGGACGTTGAGCACGACGCATACAAGGAGCAAACGGGAAAAAATGAATTTTACTAACCAGTCCAATTTGAAGTCACATCAACTTTCTTCTTTTTATTTGGAGGCTCTTCCTGAAAAAGCAAGAAATAACTTGAGTCGATGTTGCAGTGCAGGGCTAACAGCAAACCCTATCAAATCCAGCCCCGCAGGGGGAACAAATATACCGGGACATCAACTGAATTCTGAAACCTGGCCCAAATCAAGATGACATACATGCATTGTGACCAGAGAATGTTTATATTTCTTTCCCCTCCCTGTCACTGAACAGACTAAACCTGACTGACACAAATTACAGTCTTCACATCAACATGCACAATACAGGCGTCAGGGGCCCGTGCTCCAGGTGCATGTACAACAAACAATATAAAACAAACAGAAAAAAACATCAGAAATGACAGAAGCCATCAATCGTGCAGTCGCAGTTGCAGTCGTGAATACAACTGGGTTGTACAGGAGAAATATCTCGCAGGACAGTACTGAGACAACATAAGATTGAAAGTTTGCAAATGAGAGGAGGCCTTTTTGCCCATGTATCTCATTTAGTCAACTACCAAGGGCTCTGCACTCTTATACAAAATAAGACTCTTTTTAGTTAAATTGAAAAGTAAATGTTTTTTCAGGATACTCCTGATGAAATCTAGAATGCTGTTTTCCTAATTCACCCATCTGTGCCTAACCAGTAGTGACCATTACTCTTTCTGAAGGGTCAGTGTGTTGGTAGATTATACATCTTTCTATAAAATAGCAGGTGGGAGAAGCTGGTGGCACACTGACGCTTGAAACTAATAACTAACTGGTTTAGCTTATTAAGAGATGAACTGAAAAAACACAGTGGACACACCTGCCCTCCAGAACCTGCATGTGATTGACAGCAGTGCTCTAAAACGATAGATCTGCTCCAAGATAAAAAATAAAACCCTGAATCTGCACGTATACCGACAGAAATACCCTTACTGGTTTCTCCTTCTCCTTCCCCTCCTCAATTGGAGTCTCCTGCAGCTTCTCTGTGTATTTAAGGAGCAAGGAATTACCCAGCCGGGAACCCAGGAACAGATATCCTGGCTCCATCGTCATCATCTATTAAGGGAGACGAGAAAAGACGAACACAATGAACAGCGACTACAGCCAGTGTGAGAACTATGTGCCATCAAACTGAACAAAAGGAAAATGACAATTAAGGACTAAAAACTCAAAAAACACAAGGCAAAAACACATTTTTCACATTTCGTTTTTCGCTGCTACTCGGTATTGAACTGAACATCACTGAACATCGCAGATATCAAGTAACGGGGGGAACCCCTGCATTGTTCTGTACACTACACCTGGTACCACCTTCTTTACAAGCACAGACAGCTTGTAAATTCCAGAAACCCTTTTGCAGATATTAGCAGAAAAGGGGTACAGCTGTTACTGAACTGGCATTCTTTCTCCTCTTCCTCTTTTTATTAACCGGACACATTTCAGCACTTTTTTTTTTTGTCATTAACTGCTGTCATGCTTTTTTATGTCACGACACTGAGCCCACACAAAGCTTTTCACAACTCGGGGGAAGGAACACAGACGGATTTGCTGGTCGCGGGCTCAACTTACACAAGTGGTCAGGACGCTGGC